AGAAAATAATAATAAAAAAGAAAATAGTAAAAAAGTTATTAACAATAAAATAAATAAAAACAATAACTCCTGTAATATAAATGTAATACAACCCAAAACGTGGTCTTCAGAGGTTAATGACTGATGAGACGTTCGAGGACTGTTGGAAAGTCAAGAATCGGGTAATTCATTCATCCTGCTGTCACAGTCTCTGGTCGATAAATGCCACTCAGGAGTTTCATGTTTTGAGGGTAACACGCCTCTGAAGGTAGCGGAGGGTTATTATGGGATAGATTTGGTTCAGGACGGATCATAAAAGCAAGCAAAGACCGAAAACGGAACGCAGCAAAAAGTTGAACGTTTTCCTCTGAAATGAGGCGCAAAACAACAACAACAACAACAACAACAACAACGGTGGTGGTCAGCATTTGTGGAAGTGAAAGCGTCTTTTCTCGGCCGAACCTGAAGCGTGGGCTGAAACCCGCGAGGCGTTCAGGGCGTGACGTCAACGAGCCGCAGAGCGAGTCGGTCAGCGACAGGAATGAAGGTGTGCAGGTTCAGCAGCTGAAACACCTTCAAACTGTTGTCGGGTTTGATGACGTCATTCTGTGTAAAACCTTGTAGGAAATGCGGCTGTGAAGCTGCTTTTTGGTTGCAAATAACTAGAATAATATCAAGTGAAACATCTGTCCACCGTTGTCCAAACTGACATCAGCACGTTTGAACACGTAATTAGGATTATGCTGACAATAACAAACGGTGAACTTTAGAGCTTTTAAACGTAACGTGTTGTCAAAGTGTTGGACAGTTCATAGAGGTCATATATGCGTCCATGTGTTTCAGAAATGGGCGAAAAGTCTGTGCATTAAAACTGAGCATTGGTTCTGTGCAGCACAACAACAACAGTGGATGAGACGCAATCACACAAAGAGCTGTTTGTACGAGAACCGGTCGGATCAGCGCGTCGCTATCGGGTCAGAGATGAAGCAGAAGCTGCAGCGACGTCTGACGAGTCGCCGCGACTCGATCACACGCTGCCGTCAAACACAAACACACAAGCTTTCTTCAGGATGACTCAGAATGTGTCCAGAACGACCAAATGTGGTCCAAAGTGACCCAAAAACCCGAAACGTGTTCAGAATGTCTCACTAGAGGTTTAAGACAAAAACTGTCCAAGATGAGCTGAAGCTGGACGACATGACGACACATCCACCACCTGAACACGGCACAGACTCACCGCTCGTTTTCAGCTGCTTTCATAACTGCTTCAAAATGTCTCACAAATTCGTCTGCAGTCATTTAAAAATGGCCTAAAATGATGCAGCTTCAGAATGTCTCCGGACAGCTCAAGCAGTGTCGAAAACAACGTCAAGAGTCACCAAAGAAACGACTCCCAATGAAACTGCTCACAGCAGCCAGGAACCTGTACAAGATGTTTAAAAATGTGTCAGAATATCTTTAAAATGGACAGAACAGAACCTCCTGTGGAGCAGCAGAGCTGCTACCATGGAGACCTAACGGTACAGCACCACCTGATGGTGGAACATCTTTCTACTGATGGTGGAACATCTTTCTAC